AAACTATATGTTTACTTTTTTGTGTATTTTTGCTAGGCAGTGTTGGGAGTTGCTCTAAGTTAGTGATGTGATTAATAATGGGTGTCTCTCTGATTGAGTTTTTCACAGTAGTATAAATGAATGAACAAGTCACCATATCCTCCTTTCTTAAATCGTAAACTTTACGATTTAAAAGATGCTCTCTGAAGGCTGTGCAATATTGCTGAAGCTTGTTTATCCTAAGTGATGTCTCTCATCAATGTCGAAGATTTGTATGGTTCGAAATCTAAAGTCACCTAGGAACCATGTTTTTTAAGTCTACAAATAATTAATTGAAATAAAAATAAAATTTTTATGGAAAGAAGCTGCTCATATGGACATCATGTCATTTTTATAAAATAATGGAAGCAGTCAATGTTAAAACAAAATAATACGTATAGCAGTGTGTACTATTTTCTAAATTTAGAAGGGAGCTGTTTTTAGGTTTTGTGCGTGGCCTTTTAATGTTACTGTTAAAAATAATAAGCTTATTATCTACATTCATTTTGGTCATTGCTGTCACAACTCACCAAGCTAGTGGTCTAGTTATCCATTTTTTGCATTGTAGGTTGTTGCTCTCTCTCTCTCTCTCTCTCTTCAAGAAATTTTTAAATCCCATTTGTGCAGCAACCACAATATTTGTTCCTTCCCATTCTCATTGACTGCATGCCTTGGTTTCTTACCATGCGATGTTGTAGTGTTATAACTGGTTTGGCTGCTATCCGTGGGTCACACCCAGTTTTTTATCCGAGCATAATTTTGGGGATACAGTGAATTGCCATGTTAAGGTGGTCATTGCAAAGCCCATGGGTGGGAATGAGCATGGTATTTATCTTTTTAGTTAATCTCTGTTAATTTCTATTCAGATAACTTCAAGCTTGTGATCTTGAGAATAGTTCTGTATATTTGTTAAGTTTCTGATATTTGGCTTTAATTTTATAATAAAACTTTGCTATTATAATAAACTTTATATATATACATTCTATGTTATATATATATATATATATATCTCCAACATAGTCGCTATCCGTAAACGCCAACAACTCACCATCTCCTTCTTTCTTATAATGAATTCCATAGTTCACAGTCCCTTTTAAGCATCAAAGTGCTCTCATAGCTGCCTGTAGATGAATTTCCATTGGTTTTGCCATATATCTACTTATGAGACAAGTAACAAACATCATGTCCGGTCTCGTGGCAATGAGATACATTAAACTACCCACCAGCTGCTTGTAATACGTCTCATCAACTAAGTCTCCATTTCTGTTTGCTTATTTTGAAACCTGGAATAGAAAGTTTTGGTGTTGCTTCCTATTGCTTCCATCTTGGTGACCAAAAAGTTTTCATTACAAAAAAACCATCTTCTAGTGCTAGTTTTTTAGGTAAATAAGATGGTAACGGGTAGGGATTGGAACGGGATTAAGCTTGTAAACACGTAGACTAGTGTTTGCTGTCAATCCCAATCAACCCAGCTCTACTTGACTAAGCTCTTTGCTTTACTTTTTTCGAGTCAAAAATTTTTAGTTGAAGCAAATGGTGTAGTTAAGAATGCCTTAGCAAAGGCTAGCAAACATAAATCTAGGAATTAAACTTGCCAATTTGTTTGTATTTTACACTAGATTGGGTTAGTACGGATTTCTGGCTCATAAATTAAGATTAAGAAGCAAAACATAAATTGAACTCAGCTGGGACCGAGTTGAATAATGCGATAAGTAATCCTTTCTTTGGGGTTCTTTAATCCCAACTTTTTGTTGAAAATGCATACACTGTAAACATAAGGTTTGTTTTTCAAATTTCATATAAGTTTTAGTTGAAATGCATCCATCATTGTCAACTTTGTTGTAATGACTAGGACTGAGGGGTTTGTTTTACTTTATACATGGATGCAAATTGGCATAAATAAGAAGGCATTGAGGGGCTTCAATGGTACAACCCAAAAGTCTAGGTTCTTGTGTTGAATTCCACCGATCAAATTTACCTCATTGAAGAAGTCATCAACCCATTGTCGTGAACCAAATGTACCTCAATGCTACATTATATTTTGGAGCTATTATATATATTCTGCAATTAGTGATAGTGATATATGGTATTCTTGCGATCTTTTGTCATCTTATGTTATCTGTGTTGCTTTATCATCAAGGATCACCTCAACTCTTTGAAGTTTTGAATTGTTATATGCATTTCTACTATATTGGTTTATAAAATAAAATTATTTACATATGAGTTTAGATGTAATTGATAATATATTAATGTTTGCCTTGTTTATTTTCTTTGTAGATTGGTTTTGATGACGTTCGGAAGCATACTTGCAAATGAAGATCAACTGTTGAATTTTTTTTCCTAAATTGATGCTTAGTTGTAGTTGCAAATCAAGATTGAGTGTTGATTTTTTTGTGTGGACTCCACGTTAGTTCATTTTGGGATTTGCTTTCATTTTGGGATTTGCTTTGATGATTTTTTTGTTATACATAATGGATTATTATTAAAGTTGTTTGATGGATACATTTTGATTTATAATATAATGGTTTAGTGAATTTTTGTGTGGAGTGGTGTATAATAGCTAGTGGATTTCTTAGTACAATTAAAAGGCTATTGGGATCTGAGCAGGGATATTTGTGAAATAATAACTTAAATTGAATATAAAATATGGAACAACTTTAGTGACGAATTTTTTCGTCATTTGTACTTCTTATTATGACAAAGTGATTATTCGTCACTAATAAACTTTTTTGTGACAATTTACTGCAGTTTATATATGAAAGTTTTTATTTATTTTGTTGTTTGGTGACTAAAAATTTTGTCACGTGTATATATATTTATGACGAAATATATTTCGTCACCCATGTATGACTTTTGAAGACAAAAAATTTCGTCACCTTTACATCTTATTGTGAAAATTATTTCCTCATCAATGATTAACATGCGTGACAAATTTATTCGTCAACTAAAGTTATAAATATGGTACTGAATAACTATTTGGTGACAAAAATGAGAATTTTTTGTGACAAAATATTGTTTTATTGGTGACAAAAAATTATGACTTTTGAAGACGAAAATTTTCGTCATCTTTACATCTTATTGTGACGAAATTATTTTCTCATTAATGATCAATATGCGTGACAAATTTATTCGTCAACTAAAGTTATAAATATGGTACTGAATAATTATTTGGTGATGAAAATGAGAATTTTTGGGGACAAAAGTGGTTTTATTGGTGACAAAAAATTTCGTTGCTGAAGTAATTTCATTGGTAGCGAAATTATTTTTCGTCACGGTGGTTTTTAGTGACAAACATACAATGACGAAACCGGTGACGAAAATATTTCCCCACAAATATCTATAGTGACGAAATTAGCTCTTTGAAGACAAAAAAAATTCGTCATTCAAGACCCAACTTGTTGTAGTGTTTACTGATAAAAAAAAGTGCCTCCACTTTTCTTTTTCTTTTTCTTTTTCTTTTTCTTTTTCTTTTTATTTAATTTTTTTTTTTTTCACACAATCCTCCACATAAGTACTTTTTTTTAACATGAGTAATACTAAGAATACCAAATGTTTTATTAATATTTCTATCAAATGTCTCATATAAGTGTAGAACTCAAATGGTGTGAATCTCACAACCATGTGAGACTTTACGTAAAAATATTGATGAAACAAGGTCTTGTTTGGTTTGTTTTTTAGAAAAAATTTTGGAAAAAATTCTTTACAAAAAATTTTCAAGAGTAATCAAACCAAACAAATTTTTCTAAAAAAAATCTCAAAATTTTGTTTAGTTACCTACTTTTCAAAATCACACTTTCTCTCATACACATCAAATCAATCACTTTTTTTAAAACTCTCTCCAAAATAATTTTTCAAAATCATTTCTAAAAAGAATAAATTAAATAAGTTTCCGTCCTTATCTCAAAATGTGATAGGTTACCAAGAGAGAGAGAGAGTAATGAAGATTGGAAAAATTGGAATTGAAGATCCTCAAAGGATGTGTGGGGAATGGAGCTTATTTTGTTCCATCTGGATATGGAAGCTGTGCTCCACCTTACGTTACACCTCATCTCACTTATTCACTGCTTCTCAAGGATCATCGGTTCCCTTTTTAACTTCTGATGCTGGTCCTCTTCAATGTGTTGCTGATAAAGCATGTTAAATTCCTTTTGAATTTTCTTTCTTTTTTGTTATGATTTGTCTTTATTAGATGTTATTAATTGTCCTTAATATCATAAATTATTACATTGTTCGAAAATATTATGTGACTGTATATCTGATCAATAGTAATTTGTAATTTCTTTATATTATTCTTATTTTTTAAAACCTTATATACGAAATGAATATATAGTAAACATGATATTGTGAAAAGATACAATGGACATGTTTGGTAGAACTTATTTCCAACTTATTTTAATTTTTAACTTAATTTAAGCTATTTTGATATGTTTGGTTCAGCTTAATAATACAGCTTATAGTTTTTTGTAAGTCAAAAATCAACTTATTCTTTGAGTAGAGGAGGAAAAGTTTAATTTATAAGTCAAAAATCAGCTTATGTTCACAGTTATAAACTATAAACTGTTAGACTATAAGTTATAATCACTTTCTCACGACTCTACCAACCAGGCCCAATAATTACTCCTCTATGTGCAAAGAGTACATCTCTCTAGTTCCTATGCAATGTTATCCTCTGTAAAGCATATTTAGGCTTATGTGTTTATATCATTTATAAAAATAATAAAATAATAAAATAATTATTCAATAACTGTATTTACATAATTTTATGATTTGTAATAAATAAAGTATGATTTGTGATAATAAATTACATAATAAATATAATGAAATAAAACGACTATGATTATCAAATTAATTAAAAAAAAATTGTGGATAAATAATCTATACACATGGACTTAAAAGATGAACTTGTTTGGATGAATGGTCCAATCAATTCATTGGACGGGAGAGGATCTAAATTCTACCAAATTCTGGAGAAAAAAAAAAAGTTACTTATCACTGGAATTATTCTTTCCTTTTAATACAAGTATACATGTTGATTCTTATAATTTAATAATCATAATTAACAAAACAAAAGTAGCCATTGACAGAGTTGTAAAGCTGCAAAAAGTTGTATATTTTAAAAAGAAAAAAAGAAAAGAAAAGAGTAAACAATATGAATAAGAAAAAGAAAAGATGTGTTTGGTATCACACTTTCACTTTAGTTGATTTCAGTCAGAAAACTCTATTCTCATTGCTCTGGACTCCATGTGTTACTGGTGCTTTTGCTCTCAGCTTTCTCAGATACCAAACACCAGCTCCAATTCCTATAGCCCCAGCAACAGAAACTGCTGTCACAGTCCCTGATAAAGAGAAAAGAAAAGAAAAGAAAATAGTAATCAGATAAGACTGGATTTAATTCAAAGCATTTCAATCTTTTGATTGAATTATAAGATTTCACCTGCAACAACTCCTCTCTTACTCCTATGCCAAGAAATGTTTGGATCTGCAGATTTGAACAATAAGTTAATCACAAAAACAATTGCCATGTTCATCATTTCAACAAGAAAATTAAACTCTATTCTTACAAAATTGTATACAGAATTTATGAGTAGAATGATGCGACAATAATATTTTTTTTAAATTAACGTCATCTTGATGAGCCTTCTGCATTTAAAAAGATTAAAAAGAAAAATCAACATTTGTCGCATTATTTTGTATTTAATTTTCTATATATTTTTTTTATTTGTAATGAGCCTTCATTACTATTACTATTTCACTAAGTTGTTTTTGAATTATATTACGCATGCGTTTTGTGACACATCACAGAGGTTAGGGATCATTTGTCCCAAAATATTTTCCATCCCTTTGTCCAATGAACTCATAGTGGCATGATGAGATAGAAATCTCAAAACACGATTTGTCTGTCCCAATGCACGATTGTGCCTGGAGACTTCCATGTTTCGAGAATATCTTGGGATACATATTAATATCAATATTACAGTTATATAAACCGATATCGAATAGTATCAATTGATATATTGATAAATAACATTATCAAAAGTTTAAAATAAAATGACGTATCAATTAATACGATGTGTAAGGCCAAAATTTAATCAATGTAGTAGTAAACTCAAGAGCTAAAAAATAGCTATTGGACATACCTTTGCAGTAAGTAGTAGTATTCCCTTCATCACACAGACACAAGAAATCCTGTGTTTGAGAATCAAATCCACATTTTCCACCACCCTTCGCAGTGTCTTGACACCGCAAACAACTGGTGGTCACCGGAATATCGAAATCAACCCTAATCCCATACTCAGGAACTTGATCATAAGGAGCAGTATTTCCAACATTTCTCCAATGCACACTTGTATAACTTGAACAATACTTCAACATTAGCCTCAAAGACTCGGTCGCTTTGGGGTAATAGGAACAACAAGAACCACCACCCAATGCCGAAGCACACTCTGGCAAGTGTCGGCAAAGATAACTAGCACTATCACACGACGAATCACACCTTTCAGGAAAGCGTTCGCAAAAGATTGGCTTAGGTTCTATGATCACCTGGTTTTTACTACAATTGAAGAAGAGGTAGTCATTTTGTGGGGAGAGAGAGAAATGGGTGCTAGTATCAAGGCTAAATGGCCTTGTGGGGCGAAAGTTATCGCCATCTAGACAATTCCACATGAATGGATCAGAGACCAAAATGTGGGGATCTGAGTAGCTAACACTGCGAACTGGGTATTTCCCAGAAGGGGTCCGGAGTTGGAGTTGTCCTGACGTGCAAACGAGGATGTGGCGGTAGTATGGGCTTCCACATCCATCATCAATGCCAAAAGGGTAGTTGATTGGAATGTTGCCACATGAAGTTCTACATTGGCTTGATTGGGCTGATGTTAGGGTTAGAAATGGAAATATGAGTTGAATGATTAGAATGAACAAAGAAGAAGAAGATGATGAATGAAGAGACTTGTTTTTTGGAATGTGTCTATGGGTGTATAGAAAACCCATTAGAGATTTGATAGAAGGTGTGAAGGGGCTGTTGTCAAGCAAAGTTTTTGTATGGTTTTCAATGGAAGTAGTCAATATTAATATAATTAAAGTAGATTATCATGATTGAAGAAGCTATTCTTTTCTCTTTTTCTTTTTGTGTTGTGCTTTGTGCTTTGTGCTTTGTGTAGGGGCAGAGAATATTTGAGCAACATATGGACCAAGAGCATAATTTATTTTATTTTATTTTCTAATGAAGATTAAAAACCACCCCATGAAAGGTGATGAAGATGGTAAGGGATTATTATTATTATTATTATTATTATTATTATTATTATTATTATTATTATTTGCTTACTTGAAAAAAAAAAAGAAAAAAAAAAGAAAAGAAAAATTGAAGACATGAAATTGAATAAGCAACTCTCACACTAATTAAACTGTTTGTGACTAATTAAATTATGGGGTTTTTTACTTGCCACGATTTTAGTACTGAAATTTTGGGATTTATTAAAATGGTCGACTTTTTTACATGAAAAGATGTTAGCACTCCCTCAACTTCACGTTTTTCTTTCTTTTTTCTTTTCTTTGATCAAACATGTGTATATAACTTATTTGTCGGAAGAATTGATATAAACTTATATGATTATAGCTTTCAAATTTCAAAACTTCAAATAAGAAAACGAAGTTGGATGTGTTAGTGTTACACAAAGAGAACGTAGTAGCTTATAGAGTCGGCAGTATTTTTTTTTATATTTTATTTTTTTGTTTCGAGGTGTGGGGGTGAGGAGAGGGACGGAAGAAGCGATTCTCGAGATTTGATATTAAGCGTTTGTTGCTCCTTACAATTAAGGTTGTGCAAAATATTGTCTAATTCGTTAAAATCGTATCGATCTGCATTATTTCGCACCACTCTATCCATTAACCTTCGCTCCGCTATAATTAATACATATATATTTTTTATCTTATAATAAAATATCAAAGTAAAAATGAATGTGAAAGAAATTTAATATGTAAAATTCATTACAAATTAGTAGTTATATATATGAAAAATATTATGTAAAATTAGTTTGTATTATATATATGAAAAATATTATGCAAATTAGTGTTATATATTATACATAAGCTTGACAATTTGTTAGAATATTTTTAAATCCGTCAATATGCCCAAAACTGCTCAAACTATAATTTTCCAATTCACCAATCTGCTAATTGGCTATTTAATTTATAATTTTACTCTCAAACCATTTGAACCGTACCACGCACACCAATCCTTACAATTAGGGTTGCAATTTGGGCGGGCTCAACCCGTGCAACCCGAGCCCAACCCGAATTTTTTTAAGACTTGGACAAAATATTTTCAAATTCGGTACGGACTTGGGCAAAAATTCAGAATCCCGAATTAAATTTGGACAGGCTTGGGCAAAGACGTCAAACAACCCAAGCAACTCGAAGCCTGAATTATAGATATATAGATATATAAAATATTAAATATATACATAAATTATTAGTCATTACATGATATTAAAGTAATTTATATTATTAAATAATATTGAATATATATTATGTATACAAATAATATAAAATCTTACTTTTTTTTTCTTTTTATTTTCACTCATAAATTGTAAGGACTACTATAGTGGCATCTTTTTTACATTATATAAATTATTTGTTTTGATGGTATTAATGATTTTCTATAAAAATAAAAATAAAAATAAAAAATCGTAAATAGAGTCAAATTTTAATAATTTATAAGAAAAAAAAACTGAAATTCATTTACAATTCGGCCAACTCAGACAATTCGGATTTAACTCGGGACAGGCTTAGACAGACAACATTAGATTACAATTCAAGTTTAGACAAATCTCAATACAACTTAAACTAGACTTAAACAACCTCTCAATTCGACCGAACCCACCCGAGTTTCACCCTACTCACAATCAATCTTTAAGACACAATTAGGGATGGCAATGGATAACCTACCTTGTGGGTATCTATGGAAACCCAACCCAAATACATAGGTTTCTCCTTTTTTTTCTTATCCATTGGGTAGGGTAAGTGATATTCTTTAAATATCCATAAGGGATGGGTTGGGGATGGGTACCCACTAATTTCCCCATATGTTTTTTTTTTTTTTTTTTTCATATTGATAAGTCCAATTTAGAAGTGTTTTAACCCAAGAAGTCCATGAAGGAATTTTTTAACCCATTTAGTCTCATGTATGTATAGTTTTATTCCATAAAGTCCATTTTCTTGATTTACACTATTTTCTTGGACACTTATGCCTTTATATTCAATTTTGATACCTTTATAAATATTTTTTGAACGATTAGCAATTTAATGATGTCAACATTCATATTTTTAAATTCACATTGGTAGGAATGTAAAATTGGCCCGTGGGCGGCTCGAAACCCGGTCGCGAGCAGGGGCAGGCCCGGCCCGTTGACAATGTGAATATTCACATTGACATATTAACATTCACATTAATAGGAGTGTAAAATTGGCCCGCGTCCCGTGGCGGCGCGAAACCCGCTCGCAGCCCATGGGCGGCTAGGGGCGGGCCCGGTCCGGCCCATTGACAATGTGAATATTCACATTGACATGTTAACATTCACATTGATAAAAGTATAAAATTGGCCCGCGGCCCATGGGCGGCCAAAAGCCCGCCCGCGGCCCAGGGAGGGCCCGGCCCGGCCCGTTGACAATGTGAATATTCACATTGACATATTAACATTCACATTGATAGGAGTGTACAATTAGCCCGCACCTCGTGGCTGCCCGAAACCCATCCACGGCCCATGGGCGGCCCGGGGCAGGCCCGGCCTGGCCTGTTGATAATGTGAATATTCACATTGACATGTTAACATTCACATTGATAAGAGTATAAAATTGGTCAGCAGCCCAGGGCGGGCCCAACCCGGCCTGGCCCGGCCCGTTGACAATGTGAATATTCACATTGACATGTGAACATTCACATTAATAGGAGTGTAAAATTGGCCTGCGGCCCATAAGCGGCCAAAAGCCCGCCCGCGGCCCGGGGCGGGGCCGGCCCGTTGACAATGTGAATGTTAACATTATTCACATTAATAAGAGTGTAAAATTGGCCCGCAGCTCGTGGGCGGCCCAAAGCCCGAGGCGGGCTTGGCCCGACCCGTGACAATGTGAATATTCACATTGACATGTTAACATTCGCATTGATAGGAGTGTAAAATTAGCTCGCGCCCCGTAGCTGCCCGAAACCTGCCCACGGCCCGGGGCTGGCCCGGCCCAGCCTGTTGACAATATGAATATTCACATTGACATGTCAACATTCACATTGATAAGAGTGTAAAATTGGCCCATGACCTGTGGGCAGCCCAAAGCCCGACCTCGGGCCGGGACGGGCCCGGCCCTTTGGCAATGTGAATATTCACATTAACATGCTAACATTCACATTGATAGGAGTGTAAAATTGGCCCGCAGCCCGTGGGCGGCCAAAAGCCGAATCGCAACCCGAGGCGGGCTTGGCCCGACCCGTGACAATGTGAATATTCACATTGACATGTTAACATTAACATTAATAGGAGTGTAAAATTTGTCCACTGCTCGAAGCTCGCCTGCGGCCCGGGGTAGGCTCGGACCCAAACCCGGGCCGCCCATGGGACGCGAGTCAATTTTACACTCTTATCAATGTGAATGTTAACATGTCAATGTGAATATTCACATTGTCAACAGGCCGGGCCGGGCCCGCCTCGGGCCGCCCGCGGGACGTGGGCGGGTTTCGGACAGCCACAGGGCACGGGTTAATGTTACATTCTTATCAATGTGAATGTTAACATGTCAATGTGAATATTCACGTTGTCAACGGGCCAGGTCCGCCCCGGCCCGAGGCCGGGCTTTGGGTTGCCCACGAGTCACGGGCCAATTTTACACTGTTATCAATGTTAATGTTAATATGTCAATGTGAATATTCACATTGTCAATGGACCGGGTCGAGCCCACCCTGGGCAGTGGGCGGGCTTCAGGCCGCCCACGGGCCACGGGCTAATTTTACACTCCTATCAATGTGCATGCTAATATGTCAATGTGAATATTCACATTATCAACGGGTCGGGCCGGGCTCGCCCCGGGCCGTCCACGGGCTTCGGGCCGCACATGGGACGCGAGTCAATTTTACACTCTTATCAATGTGAATGTTAACATGTCAATGTGAATATTCACATTGTCAACAGCCCGAGCCGGGCCCACCCCGAGCCGCTCACGGGCCGTGGGCTGGTTTCAGGCAGCCACGGGGCGCGGGCTAATTTTATACTCTTATCAATGTGAATGTTAACATATCAATGTGAATATTCACAATATCAACGGGTCGGGCCAGGCCCGCCCAGGGCAGCCCACGAGCCGCGGGCGGATTTCGGGCCGGCCACAGGCCACGGGCTAATTTTACACTCCTATCAATGTGAATGTTAACATGTCAATGTGAATATTCACATTGTCAATAGGTCGAGCCCGGCCCGGGCCCGGGCTTCGGGCTGCCCACGGGTCACGGGCTAATTTTATACTCTTATCCATGTTATTGTTAATATGTCAATGTCAATATTTACATTATGAACGGGCCGGCCCGGGCCCGCCCCAGGCGGCGGGCTGGCTTCGAGCCACCCACGGGCTAATTTTACACTCCTATCAATGTGAATGTTAACTTGTCAATGTGAATATTCACATTATCAACGGGCCAGGCCGGGCCTATTTTTTTGGCCTGTGGGCCGGCCCGGCCCGACTCGAATTTTTTCGGGCACCTACGAGGATCGACATGGGTTGGGCCCCTACACATTGACGATATGAACATGCACATTGACGGTGTGAACATTCACATTAGGGGTATTTTGGTAATTATGTCACCCATAGGACTTACTGAAATATAAGAAAATAATATGAACTAAATGGAACATAAGTAGATGAAAAGGGTATTTCGGCAATGCTACGTAGCTCAAATTTTGTGGCTCAAAAGTGGCTCAAATGGCCAAAACGACGTCGTTTTGAGTACAGAACAACATAAAAATGGCCAAAACGACGTCGTTTTGAGTACAGAACAACATAAAAATGGCTAAA